CTGAGCTTTCAACAAACGTGACACCTGCACCCTCAATCTCACATTTAGTCCTTCACACCAGTCAACAACACTAACCAATTTACTAAAAACATGGGGGACGTTTTTCTGAAAATTTTGAAAACGGCCCAGGGGATTCATGTAAAGTACTCCCCAAAATTAAAATATTGGTTTCCAAATCAAGGATCCGCGATACCGATGAGATCGATTGGGGAATATTAATTTTGAAGAAAATCGGGTGGACGGTTTAGCCGCGAGCGTTGTTCACAGACGGACAAGCAGGCAAGAATGGTCGGAATACATTTTGAAATACTTTCCACGGCGGTTTGGCTTTGTATTCATAATAAGGGATGAATTTCTCTTCTGCCAGAAACCCAGGTTGGGTTACCAGTGTAGATATTGTTGATGTTCCTGTTCTCCTTCTTTTTGTTATTATTACTTGTACAATTATTGTATTATTGTTTTATTAGTAGTAGTAATAAAGTAATGGAATTCATATGGATATATTCAGAATTATTAAAAACATCCTTTTCCTTTTCGTATTACTAGCTTGTTCATTTGAAAAATGGGAAATGGTTGTCAGGAATACTGGACGTTTCTAACAAAGGAAAATGAGTTTAAGGAAGTTAATTTGATATTTGTCATCGACGTTTATTCTTGAATAATGGATTGTAGAACATTCTCATGGAAACTTTTCGCACATTAATTAGTATTATAACGAGATAATTATTTTTATGACTATTAACTTCAAGCATTTGAAAATGGCTGCGAAAATTGTAGCATGAACCGCTCGAGCATGAAAGAAGCTGTTGAAATGAGATTTCTATTATCTTTAGCAGGGCATACGCTTCTTTCTAGACAACACAAGAAGCGAAAAAAATCAGAAATAAATTGCAAATGTTCAACCTCAGTATGAGCATTCAAGACTGAAAGGAGAAATAGTTACATTACATCCAATCGTTGAAAGGCGAGAGTCTTTTTTATTTTATTTAATTTTTTGTTGAAGTACAATGTTCAGTTTACAATAAAAACTTTGCAATTGTTTAATGACTTAATATAATTAACTTAATCTAGGTTAAAATTGTACTTAATTAATCTTAATATAAGAAAGGAAACAAAAGCATCTCAGGAGAATTAGTCAACATTTGCAAATATCTGGAGGAAAGATTGGAGCGGGAATCTGTTCTTAATGTTGGTTTTGAATCTGGGATCTTTTCCGAGTCTGTAGTGAGTTGATGCCTTTATGAGGGATACGTTTGTGTAAAAGTTGTTTGATAGGAATGCTACTTGGTGTGTTATTTCATTTATGTTTAGATCGCAATGAAGTTGTTTATTAGTAATGAACCATGGTACTCTTTGTTATTGATCTTAAATATTTGTTTTGAAACGCTAGCAATTTGTTGAGATTGGTTTTGGTGGCATTGGTCCAGATCGGGTATGCGTATTATAGTATTGGGCGAATGAGTGATTTGTATAGCGTTTGTGCATTTGACAGTGAGAGGTGGTTGTATGAGTTTAGTAGAGATTGTTGTACTTTTATCTAAATGTGTTGTTTCCAATTCAGTTTAGTATCTAAGTTCAATCCAAGATATTTTATTATTTTCATAATTGTGGTCTAAATTATAGGATTATTATTTATAAGTAGCGGGGGTGGATATGCAAAAGGTTTTAGTGAGAAGACTTTTGCAACTGATTTTGAAGGATTTAATCTAATTTTCCAGTTATTTGCCCAATTTGTTACTAGATTTAGATGCCGTTGGTGCTGGAATCGGTGAGTTTGTAATGAATTGCCGGAGATATATAATGCAGTGCCATCGGCAAATCGGGCGGTATTTATTTGATGGGAACAAAGGCGAGAGTCTCCCCAAAACTCTCCGCCACTTTGCACCCGGAGGAACTCGATATCAGGACAGATCACGGAGACGGCGAGACGATCTTGGCGTTGGTCCAGCTCAATCGGCCTAGACCTTAATGACGATGACAGTGATGATTAACAACGTTAAAAGAATCCATGACCTATTCGTATCGAAGGGACGTGCGAAGAACCTTGAACACTATTGTAACGCTATAAGCCGTGAAGCAAAAACCTGTCGTGTCGCGTCGTGCCATGTTTCGAGGAGTCATCCCAGAAAGTAGCTCGTTACGCGAGAAGCAACTAGCCGTAAGTGAGGCGCACACGATTCTCGCGTTGCGTGGGAGGGGGTAGCATATCAACGCACCTGCTCCTGCTTCCCCACGGCTCTGCGGCGGGGACTACTCAGTGTCTGGTGGCGCTCGATCCAGTGCACGAAAGAGCGAAGACGGTTATTACAGAACATGCATTTAAAGGACCGAAACTGTTTTTGGTAATGATTTGCCTATTTTGTTTCTTTGATGGTGGGTAGTGTATGATTTAAATTCTTACGTCCCATTCGTACGCATATTGTACTATTCATAACTCGAATTTTCTATACTTTTGGGTAAAACTCCATTCTACATTCATTGTTTTGCTTAGCGTGGATAATTCGTGCTGATACGAACATCTTGTAAAGTCCTGAAGTTTTGTATCATTATCTACTTTTGTATTATGAATTGTGTGTCTGCAATAAACAGTAACAATTTGGTTAACAGTTTAGTGTTGGATCTTCATATTATTTATATTTTCAGTGAACAAATTTCTAAAATTGCGATGTTAGCTAGTTTACTGATAAACGTTATTTAACATTAAACATTTTGTTAAATATAATATTTATTAAACATATAACACATATTTTAATTATTATTTTTTTATTTATTAAACATAACATAACATTAACTGCATTTTCAATAGTCGTGGACATGAGTTAAAGGGCTTTACAATTTACTTGTAACTATAAGAAAATTCGGTTTCGATTGCTTGAAAAGATTTAGTTGGCGTTAAGTACAGCAGATTAGCACTGTAATATAATATGTGAAAATTGTAAAACGTTCATACATTTTTGTACTCGAATATTACTTGTGAGAATCGAATGTTAACCCACTGATATGAAAATGGGTTTCTTAGGCCCGGTACGATACATTATTTTCTGAGCTTAGAGGTTCCAGAAAATGCGCTATATATGGGAGCATTAGCCTATTCGTCTATTTATTTCAGCTACGAGCACCGAAAAATACAGATGAATTCAACAGTCTACAATGATATAAAAGGAATTTTCATTCTTTTCATCCATATTTGCACAAATTGGGCTTGGTATGCCTGGCAGACTTAAATGCACTTCAGATTATTTCGTATGGGCCAGTAATAATAATAATAATAATAATAATAATAATAATAATAATAATTATTATTATTATTATTATTGGATCATACAAAATATTCTGAAGTGAATTTAAGTCAGCCAGGCGAGGCATTATTAATATATTTAAAGTACTATGGGCGGGCCCTAGAAGAGTTATCACTTGCTTTTATTAACCGTGTTTTAGCATACTAGTAACATTTTGACACCGGGTATTGTGTGAGCCGCTCTGAAAAATATTTACAATTCTGAACTTATACATGGTCATTTATTCTTTACATGACCAACTTTTATAAACTAGTTTCAAACTATTTAAATAGCGATGTAGAGTGCATAACAGTATTGTTACAGTTTGTACAGTGTATAGGTATAGGAAATGCATGGATTATTGCATCGAAGATACTCTTAATATTTTATTGACGTATTTACCACGAGTTTATAACGAAAAATTAGAACAAAACATAGCTTTGACAACGTTGCATTCGAACAGTGCGTTGCTTATTCTTGGTTGAATTGCACATTCTCTAATAATAGCTAAGTGTAAGTAGCGCAGAAAATGCAATATTTCAATAATACGTAGCCGTTTCCAATGATGCGAGAAAGTATGTGCTGTTGTAGCACCACCAGTTTGATCTCCTTTTTATAGAAAGGACATTGTTAGTTGTAAAAGTCACATGTTTCAGTTTTGGGATCAACCAGACCTTTTAAATCAGCATCGGTGATATAAACGTTAGTGTATAGGACTGTTATACCCATGTCCACGGGATCAAACCCGATTGAAACCATGGATTTTACAGCGGGGCGAAAAAATTCTTCGTACGCCTTCCTTCGGAAGGAAGGTAAAGTCGGATGACTCATGTTATCACGAGTTATTGTATGTAAAAGATCCTCACGCCTAAAAGAAGCCTACAAAATACATTTTGTATCGCCTGTTTTGTCGCTCAAGTGATGTATTTTTTCTCCGTTTCATGGTGAAAGGAGCGTGACGAAATTTGCGTGGTCAGCCGGAAGAGTAGTCCTGATGGCTGAGTCTCGCCACGTAAAATTAGGCATCATTGAATTGAATGAACGTAGACCCTCTATTATTTCACAATCTTGCTTTTCTGTATCTCCCGATGTAACCCATATGCGTTTCGTACTCTCACCCACGCACTCACCAAACCATCGACGGGAGTCTCATCCAGATTCGACTGGATAGACTTAGATAAGTGGAATTAGTCGATCTTTCGGCGGCGTTGGTGCAACGGTTAGCGTATCGGACTGTTATCGCAGGTACATACCCGATCGATGCCGTGGATTTCTAAGGGTGAAAAAAATCCTTCGAACGCCTTCTTCGGAGGGGAAGTAAGCCGGCTGTCTCATGTTAATGGATTTACTGCACGTCAACAAGAAAGAGGAAGTAAAGATTACGCGCGATCCATGGTTAGTTTGTTAGGTTACTACCCCCGATATTGATTAGAGAAACCATGGAAAACTACCGATCTGAGCAGCCAGCCCCTAGACAGCAGCTGAATTCAAACTCCCTAACTAGCTAGTGATGAAAATCCTACCACCGCCGAGACTCGAAAGCTATGACCTCCCGGTCAGAGGGACTGCAGTCGATGCGCTGAAGCACTTCAACCGGTGAGGATGTCGGGCGGTATAAATGTGCACTGTGAATGTCGTGCAGTGCGAATGCCGTGGCGAGTGAATGCCGTAGTGTTGCCAGCGGCATGTGATTGTTGCAGGCTCGTGGGGCTCTTTTGTGAGATGCGGTCGGCGCTGGTGCTTGCGTTGGTGCTGGCGTTGGGGCAGATGGCGATGGCCAGCTCAGACGAGACGTTACGTGAGTATTAACCGCTACGTGAGTCGACAGTAGCAGAAGCAGGGTAAATAAAGTGTAATCTTATAAACAATTCTCATAGTATTTTAATAAGGAAATAAATATTAACATTACTTAGTACTTTTTACCAGATGAATCGAAAATAATTTATTGAAGTATGTCTGTATTATTAAATTCGTTGAATTGATTCTTTCAACAAATATATCTATCTATCTATCTATCTATCTATCTATCTATCTATCTATCTATCTATCTATCTATCTATATATATGTGTGTGTGTGTGTGTGTGTAGGGAAATATAATTTATAAGAATTTAAATGTATCTCAATTTCTAACAAATAAGGAGGAGAGTTTATGACACACTTGTTATCGCAAAATGACATTTGCCTGAAAGAGACCTTTAAATTTATTTTTTTCCTATTCTTTTTATCTTTCCTAATTGCACTAAACACTAATGTGATGTTGAAAATTCCTTTAACTTGTTTCTTCTCTGAAATATAGTTCGCATGAGCGCACAAAATTACGAACAAAAGACCGTCATCACGATTGATTATTTCTTGTTTCCGCGGTGGTCATTAGTCCCGTAAGTGTAATGTTTGTTTGTTTTTTTTATCACGGAACGTGCGGGTCTAACCTCACTGGATTGTGAGATACGGCGCCGTCCTACATGCCGGCTTGCTTTCCCCCTCGAGGTACATCTTCCAGCGAGGAAACGCCTCACCTGGCACACACTAAGCTCTCGACTCGTCTCGCAGCATGTGTGCTAATATAGCAAGTGTAAGTGTATGTGGAAGTAAGGGACGAGGAATAGGAAGGAAAGATCGCGTATGGCCCACGGCCCGTTTGTTGGAGTCCCGCACTAGAATTCACCTGGTATTGATGAGAGAAACCGCTGAAAATTACTGATCATCAGCCGGTTCTAATACTTCTTCAGAGAGCGGTTGAATCTATACTAATAAAAGTGAATTCAACGACGTGTAATCGACGTTTATTCTAAAAAAGGGAGTTTGTGAGTAGATACGAAATATTAACAGGCTCCTCTTTAGGATTTGATGCAATGTCCTTGCCAAGTTTGGTAAACATTAATACAACACTAATGCGGAAAATAAATAATTTAAATGCTGGTAGATGCACTACGATCATTATTTTTCGCCTGTCGTTAAGAGGAAGGTTCCTACTACGTATAGTCCGCCAGAGGCCAGCAGCGGCGCGGTAGAACCGTGTGCGCGATCTCCATGAAAGATGGCACATCTAAGTGTTTTTTTCACACTGAAGGTTTTTGTGTAAAAAGTGTTAATTTTGTTGTAACTCTATTAAATGGCGCTGCACCACAAGATTTCGCTTAATTTTAATTCAATTTCCATTTCAACTGACCTCCATCTAGGCTTCATTGTTGCTGGGCGTTGCCGTAACGCAGGGCGAGGCCGAATAGTACAGGACAGGGAGCGCGAGAGAGGGAGAGAGAAACAGAGACATAGAAAGAGACAGACACAAACAGAGAGACAGCGACAGACAGAGATACAGAAACAGAGACAGACTGACTGACAGATAGAAATAGAGACAGACGCACAGAGAGATACAGAGAGAGAGAAAAGCAGAAGGACGAGAGAGAGGGAGAGAGAGATGGAGAGAGAAAGAGAGTGATGGAGAGAGAAAGAGAGAGGCGGAGAGAGAAAGAGGGATAGAGAGAAGAACATCTGCCGGGTTCCGGAAGTTATCTATATTGATAGTGTCGAAAATCCTGCGACCGACAGAATTTGAACCCTAGGGGCTCTCGGTCAGATGCCCTGCCGTGACATCAGATCATGCCCTGAGTCACTTCTGCCATTCAGGAAATTAAATTCTTAACACTGACTTTCAAATAAGAAGTGCCCATGAAAAATGTTATGACTCTCATTTTAATGTTCGGTACCATTCGTTGATGGAGTGGATGTAATGTGATGTGGAAATAATCGTCCTGGCCTGCTAAGAACACAAGTACGCTTCTCTGCAGCCAGTATTAAGTAAAATCAGTAGAAGCTCGTATAACCTTGTATAAAGCCAGAAATTACCACTGCGTAACGGAACGTTGATATTTGAGATTTTCAGTCTAATGAAAATCATCGAGAACACGTCGTTCTTGTGACGCAGGGATGCTTCTTTTGAACTTCAACGAATGTTAATAGCGGGATCTTGTGATCTAGTCAACGGACGAAAATCGACTTTCATAGATGTACAGGCGTGCGCCAACTGCTATTGTGGGCTTTTATAGCCCCTTTCACTTAATTACATAAGACATTATATTAGCAAGTTAATTCATCATACCTTAAATAATATGATTAATAAATATTATTGATTTCACTTAAGAACAGGTCCCTTTAAACGTTTAGACAACAGACAATTTTTTTCCAATTATTTTATTCCTTAACAATTCAGCAAAATTAACTTTATGAAGTATTGAACAGAACTAATTGCACTCTCTTTTGAAAAATTTGAAGAACAAATTTGGAATGACTTTTGAGAAAACGGCGTTTGAGCGTTTCAAAAAATTAGAAATTTTGAGATAGTTTTCACGGAAAACGGTTGAGTTTCGAGTAATTAGTTATATGACTTCATTTAAAGTACATGTACTCATAAGTACAATAATGTGAACAAATTGACACTAATATAAATATTAATGCCACGAGAAGCAAGGCAAAAAAAATTAAATTTTTGTAATTTTTGAAAAAAACAAAGAATAGAGCAATATGCTGGATATGTAATCCTATAGAGTACATTTAGCACTATTCCTACCAAAAGTTTAATGGAACCATTTGGAGCCATTTTTGAGAAAAACTACAATAGTTTTTGTAATTTTTTTAAAATTGCACATATTGCACGCAATACTGCGTGAAAAGTACGAAAATGCTTCAAAAATATACATGACCTTAATGAAAGAAATTTCTATGGAAAACAAATTTTATTTGAAAGAAAAATCGCTATCTTTAATTTTGTAGTTATAAGTTCACAAGGAAAAGTTTTCTGTAATTTTCAAAAATTCATAATTAACCGTGAAAATCGGACCTATGCCACCTTTATAAGTGTATTTTACCCTATTCTTAAAAGAAATTGTAAGAAAAAAATTTGGAGCCGTTTTTGAGAATATCTTGAAAATGTCCCAGGGGTTTTACGTAATATACCCCCAAATTTTAAAGAATGTTTTTCAAAAACTCAAAGCTTCTATTATAGCCATATGGACATGGGTTTCTTTAATTTGGAAAAATTACGCATGGTTTAGGCTCTAACAATGGTCACAGAAAGACAGACTGACGCTTTTAAAAAATAGCACTTTTTCGGTTTCAGGTGACCCTAAAACGTGTATTTCAGTTGAAATCTCGATATCGATTTTCCGCAGCCTTCCATAACTTTCCCTATACTACGTATATTACTCCATATATACGTATGTATACCGGAAAGTTGAAATCATTGATGTGATGTTAATCTTTTCCAGGGTTGATAATTGGTTTGGAGCCTCTCGTTCCTAAAACTGTTTTAATATAACTCGAGTGTTAACATTTTACTTCAAAAAACTATTATTCTCTGGCTACATAAATGAATATTTCATTCTGTCTAAGTGAAAACTCCAGTCATTTAAAACTAAATATAAAGTTGCATGTCATTTTATTGATCATGAGAGGAAAGTAGGCACTCATCGAAAAAAATCACAAGAAGAACTCGCTTTTGCATGTAATGATACCTTATTTAAAGACTTCGTTCGTCAGACCTGCTCCGAAAATGAAGGTCAGGGAATGCACTCAAGGGGCTCTAAAACACGATTCGAATACGAGAAACGGAGCTTTTCACACAATGCAAATTTTATTGGAAAATACTTCTCCATTTAAAGTGTAATTAACTGTTGAAAATTTAATGCGAGGTTGTCGAATAAGTTCAGGGCACTGCTATAATTATTAAAACAAATGAAATATCAGATATTGCATGTAATGAATCTTTATTAAAATACTTCTTTTCGTTAGTCCTGCTCCGAAAATCAGGCTCTTGAAGGATAGGAAATGCACTTGAAGAGCTACACGAAACACAAGGGTCAAGGAGCGGAGACGCAACTTCAAGATCAACAACAATCTAGGACAAGATCCGTTCACACAATGTAAATTTATGAAATACTACTTCTCAGCATAAAGAATAATTATTCAAAATTGGATGAGAATTTGTCAAACTAGTTTTGTGCCCTTTCACAGGAAGGCAAATAACTGAAGTATCCGATTTTGCAGGTAATGACGCATTGTTAATGATTATTCATCTTGTCTGATCTGTTCTGGGAAACAGGTTTTTCATGGTCAGCGAATGCATTTCGAGGCGCTCTAAAACAAATGACAGACAACGGAAGCTCTGTCATATCTCTTTTCGAAAATGTAAAGTTTATTTCCTTATTATTTCTCAGTTAATAGTATAATTAATTGCTGAAATGTGATAAGATTTTATCAAAAACGAAGAGTGGATTTCGTCAATAAAAAGTCGTCTAGTTTCCACATTTAATTACAGTTAAGATTAATACATTCGATTGGAAGAATGTTTCCCCCTCTCGTATGATTACATGTATACAGTTCTCATTTACAAGGTTAGATGATTATTAATTGATAATTTATATATTTATTCATTGAATGAAGTTTCATAAATAATTCTGTTATACAAATTCTCTTATCAACTTCCCGTTTTATTGGTTTTTGGGGAAGAGAAAACAAGATGATATTGTCCTCGTCATTATACCAAGTTGTTGTTGTTGTTATTATCGTTATTAATACTACTATTACGAGTATTATTATTTCACATACATCTACAAGAGGCACAATGATGAAAAAGTAATACAAATACAAAGTTGTACATATTTAATACACTTTCATATCCTTACATCATGTCATTTTATAAACAATTGCAGTTTAAGATCTCCTGAGTGTTCGATCCAGCGTGAACCCGGAAAAGTGCACTCTAGATTTTTTTGTTATTTAAGGTCGCAACAACATCGAGGACATTAGCGACCACTATTGCATTAAACTGAACGGTAACTATGAAGATGATATGATATGGTGATGATAGGGGGTGAAAGGTCGAGCGCAAATACAACCATGTCCAATGCGGGATTTGAACCCGTAGCTCTTCGGTCCGAGATTGCTACGGCACTACTATATTAACGATCTCTGGCATCCTGAACCGGCCATTGTGGTTCATTGAAACCCTCGTTTCGAAACCTCGAACCTTACTACATTTTTTACGTAATATATGTTTTGAAATTTTTCTCTTCTGGGTATACCCAATTTCTATTGCGGATGATCAAAAGAATCTCGATTTCTGTGTAAAACAATTTCATATATTATGGTAATTAATAGCATCAGTCAATTCCCCCTGATTGGCAAAAAACGCAACACCACATCGTTAAGCTTACCAACACGTTGGGATAGCATGGTACTCCACCCAATTTAGGACATGTCCATTCAAAGTTAAATCCCGTTAAGAACTTCAAATAAATAATTATTACGTGTAGGACCCTCAATATATTCATACTGCGCTAAAACGTTTTCACTCTGCGTTTCCTTGCTGTGCCGTTGGGTTCATTGAAGAGAGAGGACCTTCCCACCGTGGTACCCAATTAAGCGCTTATCGTCCTTGCGTATCGGAGGCCTTGCTACGTAGCGGCGATTCCGGCCGTAGCTTGCTGTCGACTGCTTCCGACGGTACACAGCGGTTCAGGTGGTTCAGGGCATCAACTGACGACACTGCAGTGCCTCTGACCGGGAGGTCCTGTGGTTTGGGTCCAAACAGTGGCAGGAATTTTGATAGTATCTAAATAGCTGGGTCGAGTTCAGCCGCTGTGCGGAGAAGACTAGTGACTGCCTGCACTGATCTGTAGTTTTCCGTGGTTTCTCCGATTAATATCAGGCGAATACTGGAGCGGTGCACTAACAAACGGGCCATGGATCGCACATCTTCCCTCTTCCTTATCATATCCTAACCACTTTCACACACTTACATGTGCTCACACTCACGTCAGAAACCCAGAGCAGGACCCGGCTGGGATGGTGCTCCGCTGGTAGGAGATACCTGGTTGTGGAAAACCCCGCAAGTCTTCGTGTAGGTCGGTGCCAAATCTCACTATGCAGCAGGGGAAGATCACAGCCACCTCCCGTGATGAAAGCACACACTTCACTTACGGCACTAATGAGCATAATATTTGACGCACCCGAAAACACAAATAACCAATCAACCAATGAATTTGGTCGTACACGCGCTCATGCTGTGGGAGCCTTGCATCGGAGCGCAGGCCGATTGGCGGCGGAGAGTGAGAAGGAGCGGTCACGGGCCCGCCCGCCGACGCTTGGCACGGAAATACGCGATTTAACTTTTTTTCACATCCAGTAGATTCAGTTTCTTGCGCTTATGTATTCTGACAAATGTTTCTCTAGATTTCCTGAACCGTATATTTAGAGGTTTACAACGTTGGATAATGTCAGTTTTTACAAGAGATGTTTTCTAGATAATCATCCCATAATAATTGATACACTCGTAATTAGCACTCTCTTTTATGATCGACGTATACTACGTGAGCGTAAGTGTTAATTATTTGTCTTAATACATTTCATTATGCAATAGCAGTTTTCCGAAGAAAAGGAACTTGTACTTGGTGCCGTGGTCGGGAATCTGGTGGTCGGGCAATGGACATCGTTTTCGGGGATGTGCAATCCGCCTCTCTCTGCCTCTTTCTGCCCCCCTCTCTGTCTCAAAGTGTCATCTTGCACATTTCTCCTTCGCGCTGACTCTCTCTCTCCCTCTCTCTCTCTCTCTTTCTCCTTCTCCCCCCCCGCCCGCGCCCTTTCTCTCGCTATCTCGCGCTCTCTCGATCTCTCTTACAATCTCTGCTGATTTCTCTCTCCTTCCTGTAGCTCTCTCTTCCTCTCGTTCACTTTCTGCTGGTGTGTTCAGTGGGCGGGGCCTTCAAAGTGTGCAGCCGCAGCGATCCGCAGCTGGAGCAGTGCGTCTTAGACTCGCTCAACGGCGCCAGAGACAAGCTCGCCACCGGTAAGTCACCAACAGAAAATCCTACTCGAAGCAAATAAACCCGTTTCTCCAATTTGATGTTTTGGAGTGATGAAATCATCCAATAATTCTTTTGCCGTCCGAAAGACAAGATGGTAAGAGCGTTGGGCGTCGAAATTTATTTTTTGATACAAGAAATAGCTGAACTGTGTGTCTTGTTCCCTTTTATCCCGTTTAATTGCCGTTTTGTGTCACTATAATTAGCACAAAACACTGTCACTTTGGACTCAATAAACGCCTCATTTTCATAAATAAATCCTCTTTCGTGTGATGTTAATGTCTACTCAAATGTGGAATATCCGTGATCAACGTCATATGTCAGAAAATGTGAACTTCACGCAGGTGATTTCATCACGTTTCCAAGAGATTTCGTGAACCTTCTGAACACAAGAAACATAACTCGTCGAAATATTCTAATTTCATTTTGATTGTAACCGCCAATGGAAGTTGCTTTAGGTACTTTCAAGTTATTGTTATTGTGGTGAGTTTTCGTTGGCATTTACAATCGTAATCGTTTTGTGGCTAACAAGCAGCAGAAAACTCACGATGATGGCTAAGCCATCAAAGGTGCTCTTGTAATAAAAAATATTGTTGACAATGACGACTTTCAAGTTAGGTACTTTTAGACCTTACAGAGTTTTAAGTAAATCATTTAATTGGTACATTATCACAAAAAATAACAACAAAAAACAATATTGATATTTTGACAATTTGAGGCCAGCAATACAATAGACCTAAGAATCCGGGCATTACTAATAAGTATTTAAGCAAGTTCTCTTGTATAGAATTAAATTTACTTTTAAAAGGCATGCGAAAAATTGAAATCTAAAAATTTCAAGTAGTTTGTAAGTTGGGAAACAGTATAAACTATTCACAGAGAGTTGTATTGAAATTGTTTTGTTTCAGCACATTTAACCCCCACAAATGCTGTGTAAATTCTTTGTGACCACTTTTTAGAAAGAGAACAGTCAGCTACAACAAAGTGGCTACGTACTTCACCCGACAAATATCACGCGTTCAATACGTAGAACTGCAATAACTCGGGCCCCAAACACAATACAGAAGTAATTTTTTTTTTAATTTATTTCTTCTCGTTCGACCAAAGGTCTTTCGAGGGGTTTCGGTTTTACATACTGACATTTTGGGATATGGGCATTCCTGACAAATTGAGATTAGATACTCTGACTCGTTTAATTCGTTGGTTTGCTTGTAGAAGCAGTTGGGATTTATTTTTAATTTTTTCTTTTTTTTTGGGAGAGGGGGGGTAGGTTGTTAGGATTGCCCTATCGAGCAATAGGAAGGGAACGTGAAAGATTCTATTTAGATACGGGATGATATTATTGGTTTAGGGAGGTTTAAGCATGTCTTTGGGAAATTTGGATTTGATTCGGCTTGGGATGTTTGCTGTTCGACCTAGGTGAAATTTCAGGGCGGAATGAGATGAAGGAAGGGAAGAATATAAATTATTTGCTACTTTTTTAATGTGTTCGAGCACTGTTTCCATTTGGAGTTCTCTGTGAATTTGTTGGTTAGGTATAAACCATGGAGCTTTAATTGATTTTCTGAGGACTTTATTTTGGACAATTTGCATTTTTTGTATGAGAAGTAATAAAACACGGTCTACTCATAAAGGCTGCAAGTCAGTATAGAAGTGCCTAAACTAACTAAAGCTTTTCTAACCACTTATCGGAGTGTCGTCAGCGACCTGTAAACATTTTCCAGTTAACACAGAACGTAATAACGAGGCAAGTGTTTACATATCACTTACATTACTGACAGATGTAATTGGGTACTGTAGTCCGATAACTGGCAAGAAGCTCTGTTAGTTTAAAGACACTTCTAAGAAGTTGTGGTATCCTGCATTATGACGCTGCAATGAAAAACTAATTAAAAACACAATGCTTCAGAAACAAATGTTAGTTATTCGAGTTTTAGGCACTTTTCCATTTACTTTTCACAATCAGAGTGTGAACCTTCCTTGTCAGCACAGTGCCATGCAATGGGGAAAAAGTGAACAATGCAATGTTTTTAATGTTGGTAATTGGTCTTTTCATTCCCTTTTCACAGCCAGATTGTAAAGCTTCCTTAACAGCCTAGTTCAATTGGGATTCATTACAGGTATTCCTGAGCTTGGCATCCCCTCACTAGAGCCCCTTCGAGGCGCTGAGGTGCAGCTTCGAGAAGGAGAAGAAGACTTCCACCTGCAACTTGTGTGGCGCAACTTCAGCTGGAGAGGTCTTTCAGATTTCGTTGCTACCAAAGCCCGGTCAGTCACTGACACCAAAGTTATCTTTTTACCTTTGACTAGCGTTAAGCGCGGTTTACACGATGAGAAAATGTGAGATAGCCGCTTTTTCTACTATGCCCTTCACTTCTAGACCTGAAAAATGGAGACAATATAAATTTCTACAATTTTAAATTCTAGAATTTTATTATGCATTATTATTATTATTATTATTATTATTATTATTATTATTATTATTATTATTATTACTTGAGTATCGGCCACTGATTACCACTATACCCGTTATTTTCCGAGGCTCAGTCTTTTTTATCTCAGAGAGATTAATGCGTGGCATTAAAGGTATCAGAATGTCGACTGTATTCCTTGGCAAGACAAGGTTGTTATGCGTTGATTTACGAATTACGAGGAGATAGGATGATGGTGATGGTGAAGGATGCACAGGCAATCGCAAATACAACCCTACCTACGCAAGACTCGAACCTTCAGTCTCCTCGACTCAGATGACGGCTCCCGCAACCGTCTGCGCCATGGAACTGACTTTTATAATCATTGTTATTATTAGTATTGCTGTTATTAGTATTGTTATTATTACTATTATGTTTTCTTCCAAAAGATAAAATATCCTTATTGAAATATTAATATTAAAATATTTTCTACCCCATTTTCAGGATTCAGTTTTCGCCCCCATATTTGGAATTTGTTACTACACTTAATAATATGAGCTTAACTGGACCTTATGAATTTGGAGGATCAGTTCTTACGCTTCGAATAAACGGCAACGGAGATTCCTACCTTAATTGGGGTAAGATAACAATCAACTTAAATTTTTAAAATAATTATTTCAGAGGACATCTCTCTCTCTCTCTCTCTCTCTCTCTCTCTCTTTCTTACCTTAATTTTCTATTACATGCATTTTCATATTATTTTCTTCGCCTCACTATGCAAGACACGGTCAGAACTTCTATCTAAAACTTTACATTGGTATACGTTTTTTACTATAATATTACATAATGCATTTCATACACAACCAACGAAATTTCTCAGCTTTGAATGTCCGCACCATGATCACTATCAGACATAATACCACAATCAAAATATCATAACCTCCCACTTATTTTTTTTGAAAAAGACCCAGCAAAATTGCAATTACAAAAAACTTAAATGCATGTTCTTTTCGTCGTAGAAAACAAGAAACAACAACGATAGGAAGAGCTATCATAAATAGGCCCTTTTAAACGATCTTGGAATACGTCCAATATTTACTAATATCTTCAATTTTTTCGGCTTAGAATTTCTCCAACGATATTCTGAATCAAAAATAGATTCACAAATGACAAATACTTAAAACAAATTCAACCATAAATCCATCCAAAATAAACAAATTAAACATGAGATGCTACTACAAAATTGCTCACACATTCTCGCACTACTACTGTTTTGTAATCTCTCCAGACCGAGCTAGCTTTTTGGTTTAGCTTCGCCCTTTTTTAAATATTTTTTTAGTGAGAGGAACATCTATCTTCAATAATGTAGTTGCTGAAGGTCTCTGAAAAAAGTCTCGAACTTTTGCAGTTTTTGAGTATTCAGGGTTATAAACGAAAATAAGTTTTACGTCATTTTAAAGCTTTTTGCGCTGTACGAAGAAAAAGTTTAATCAAAACATTTGGAGCCTTTTTTGTGAAATTTTGAATATGTTGTTCATGCTTTAATAAAGCTTGTTGCGGTTATCCAGCTTGGGAAAAAATTAATTGGCGGCTAAGTATTGCTACATACATCAGTAGGGGTTCACAGGCACAAAATAAATTGAAGAAAGCACAGAATGAATGTCGGGATATTTTCTTTCACAAATCGAACGATAACGGAATGGAAAAGATTTCCTGCAAAAAACTAGAGCGGTAAAGTACTTAACCACACTAGAGCGGTAAAGTACTTCATTACGAAACTGATTATAATAGCATTGTTTCACATTAACTAACCAAAGTGGATAAACCTTTTAATCATCCATCAAACTCTAAATTATTCTCCGATCACTAAGACTTTCTCACTATCTGTTTTTTTGGTGTATCTTGTCTGTCATCATGGTGGCCACCAACATATAACTTTAATACAAGTTGGCCGTGCACACGAACACCCTCTTCATATTGAAATTCTTTGACAATCTTGACTCGTTACAATATTCAGGAAATTAATTTATGTACTAAACAAAGATAAATTTTCTGCGAAAGGTTCCTACAAAATATAACTGATTCGCAATAATGCTCCCTCAATGTTTTCGTTCACCCACTCCTACACTCTGGAGTGGAAGGTATTACTCGCGCAACTTTCCTTGAATCATGGATTGAAGAAATGCGTGTAGAGTGGCGGTATTATTTATGAAATCGGCCACTAGATATTATGAAGCAATGCCAATCTCTGGAGAATCAATCATGCCTTCCCAACTTTCTCAATAATTTGCATTCTAACTTTCTTAGAAGATCGAGGCATCTCCTGTGATGAATATTCACCTGCTTCGGTTATTTCTTTCGATTTTTTGGAGAAAATCACGGACAGAAGTTCTCGTCCTCCAACAGAAAATAGTTTCTATTTCGCGCCAGAGAAAATGTGTTTGGAATGTTCTCTTCTGTGCAGAGCTTTTGTCTTCAACTGTTTATTATGCGAGAATGGGGAAAGCAAGGTCATCGTTCAAGAAAAGTTGCGCGATTAATATCTCATTTTTTATGTTCTAATTTTATATTAC